CTCGTATCTGTCTTATTGATACGCACAGTTGGGACTCTGGTGTTAGAAAACAACTTTAGTATAAATCTGATAAATTGTAAATCTACATTAAAACATAAACGCTTTCCGGCTATCAGTTATGTTTGCCGGCAGTTGGCAGGCAGGGATTGACTCGTCTCAAACGAATATCTCCTTGTTTACTTTATTGAACTATACAGGACTGCTTTCAGTAGATTTCAGAATGATTTGTAATTCCTATCACACAGATTAAAATTTACAAACCAAACATTTTTTCTCTGAAAAAACATCGGCGAACTCTCCTACCTTATACGCATGCGCATGCGCAAAACATGTGTATTACACACTCTCATATTATTACACTTTTAATCTTTTCTGACCGCACTTGGTGAACTGCAGTTCGAAAACAATATTTCTTAAGTGCACAAAAGCAACAGTTCGGGAGTATCTTGTCGTCTGATGTTCTAACTGTGAAGTCATTTCAATGTAATACGTGACGTCATTTAATTGTCATTTTGGTCAGTGGAAGGATATCTTTAGCAAAAACAAAGTCATGACGAGTGGTTAACAATTTGGCCTTCCACGCAGGCGGCCGGGGTTCGATCCCCGAAGTCGTCGCACGCATGGAATTTCAGAGAAAGTGTTTTTCTCCTGCCCACACAACTCCAACAACCCAGGTGGAATATAAAATGGTCTGGGGTGGATGTTGCGGTATCCTCGATGTAGCATTCAAGTGAGGTGGCACTATAAAAGATGCCGTTGGAAGCACGGTTCCACTACAAACAGAACACAATACATCTCAAGCACACACGCAGGCATACACGCATACGGATATATTAGCCAGGTGGCATAGGACTAGTAGTTAGCGCCTGGTAAGTCAGCTCCTGCGAATTCCTCAAAAATGTATATCCTAATTGTATTAATTGTATATCTATGTACTGTAAAGCGCTTTAGAGTGGCTTATTTTAGCTAGATAGGGCGCTATATCAAATGTGGTATATTACTATTAGTATTATGACGTCACAGACATAAACACAACTTTAACAAGTTTGCTCTTTTATTTAATGCAAGGGTATACCATTTTTTCCTGTCTTTTAAAAAATTTGCTTCTGGGCATTTTTACCTGATTCACAAATCCTATTAAATATGTATATTTGCATTCGCAGAGCCCCAAATACACGTTTATTGAGTTTATCTATAAATATAGTAACTGCGCGGTCGGTGTCGATTTTAACAGAATTCCACGGGTGGTGGGGTTGAAATATAGTGTCAATTGGCTTATATGGGATGGGACACCCTTACATTCTACAAACACGATTAGAATGTTCAAAATCCCCCAATAGACTCTAACTCTATCCATATTCTATGACTTCATTATTAAATTGCGTTAGATTATGACGTCATAATGACGATGACGTCATAATCGACCATTCACATACACAACGTCGGGACGATTCGTTCTCTACATTGGCATTGCGTTGGTGGAGAACATATGTATCCTCTCTATGTTGGCGTGTGTTGCCGTATCAAGCAATAACCCGGTGTATAATATGTCTGTTTCAGAGACATCCACCGATAAAAATACGTCACTAAACTCACCGAACAATTACGTGTATCTTGGGATTGCTATTTATGACGCCGTATTTTGTATACACCTGGGGACGCGCACAGAACGACTTCTTTGCTAATTGCTTTAAATCTAATACATTGGATCGCGGGGAATTCTATGAAGTGCAAATCATGTTTTATTTTCGTGCATAAATAACATTTCTACAGAAACTTTCACGTGAATTACGGGGTGATTAGGAAACACAGTAATACCGCTAAGTTGTAAATAAACATTAAGCAGGTCATTTCCTACGTGTACTGCCGTTCTCTGAAACCAGTTACAAGCTACACTCACGTTCCAGTTGATGGGTCGTTGTCATTACATCAAAAACACCGCCATCTGTATCCCCGAAGGGAGACAACCGATGATTGCATTGCCGTTGATTTCCTGGTCGGGTATAACGATCTTTGGTCAACCCTATCAATTTAGCTGAATAGACGTTTATATCTCAGGAATCCCGGAATATACGCATTTAGTTTGTCTATAATGAATCAGGGATTTCTTAAATAGTCAATCTTTCTATTAATCTAATTTTCCGCGACACTGCACTGTGAAATACGGAACCAAGGAGATCTATCATACAAATCCTGCTGAGATGTGAAATACGAAACTAAGGAGATCCATCATACAAGTTCTACTGAGATGTAAAATACGAAACTAAGGATATATATCATACAAATCCTGCTGAGATTTGGAATACGAAACTAAGTAGTTCTCTCGCACTAGTCCGGCTGAGATGTTTCAGGGGAGATAATTCTACGGATTTCGTGAATGCAAATACTTCGAAACTAAGGGGATCTAGGATACTAGTCCTGCTGAGATGTGGAACACAATACAAAGGAGTTTTCTCATTCAAGTCCAGTTAAGTTTAATATGGGAGATAATTTTAAGGATTTCATAAAGGAACAAAATGTATCAATATTTCAAAAACTTCTCCGGGTAGACATATTAGAGGCGCTTCGTTCATTCCAAATATTAAATTATATTTATGTGAACTGCTAGATGTTATTGGACTGATGTTTTCACGCTAATTTAAGAAAATAAAACGCAAAAAAATATCAATAAAGTTCGTAAATGTTTCCGTAAAAGACCACAGATACTGGCAATTTTGTAAATGTCTTCCCGGGCGAAACAATTTGGACCACCGTATAAGCCTCATCATAACTGGTAAGAAAAAAAGCCTGTCAATTTTAGTGCCAGACTTTCTTCAATGTAAGACCACCAAATAGGTATTAATACCTACATACCATTTTATAATGAGGCCACCAAGTGAGTAGGGTTGTGACATTTTTTTATACAAACATTCCGAAGGTTATCCATTAAGAAGGCAATGTACGAGGAATGTCTTCGCACTTTTATCCCGTTGAGGCTGTTCTATAGCCTCTGGGTTACTTCGTATTGTGGAGTAAACGACGGTAATTAATCATTATTCCTTTCTAGATCCTGTTTAATCTAGCTTCGTTAGATTAACGGGGCGTTATGTCAAAAATTTTATATTAAAATTTTTGAATAAAATTATGTAGCGACACGAGTATTTCTGAGTATATTTTTTAAGGGTGATAATTTAAATTCCGGGACATGTATATTTCGTGTCCGTTTTAATAAATATGGAAATATTACTGATTAAAAATTTATCCGAATTTGTCACTTAGGTAACGATGCTTTTTACAACTCAGTCCTGATAAATAAACAAAAAGAAAAGGAATAAAACGCTCCATTCTCAATTTTTTAAGGGGCCTCCTGCAGGGGAGACAACTCTCGACTTTAAAAGAGCTTAATGAACACACATATGGTTTTGGTATGTGGAAGACTAGTATCTGTCAAGGAACAGACAATTGATTTTATTACACAACTGAAATGTAAGAGCTTTAGCAGACAAAAAATCCACATGCCATGCAAAAAAGGAAAAATTGTATCATGGTTTTTCCCAGCCACTGTCAATAAAACTAGAGTTATCCCCAATGGAAGTCCTTCAATTAAAGATTTCCGGAAGCCATTTTGTTGTTTTGTTATTATAAATTGATTAAAATTGAATAATGAAAACAATAATTATTTGTATTTGTTTTCATGAAATATTTGTTAACATTTTAATTACCCTCGAGTGAGGAAGATATGAAGAACGTTTCTCTCTGGAGAAATCATTTTCTAGGATGTTGAAAAGCAGCTCCTGAAAATAGTGCATCACGCAAGGCCTTGTAGTGATACACATTGCCTAAGGAAGTTGTAAAGTTATCTTCAGCAGAAAATCACGAAAAAAAGAACCAGAAATGTTCAATAAAACAATTGGAAACCAGGTGACCTTGGCCTTTGACCTTTGCGTGTGGGTCACCATGCAATTGGTTCAAAACATACTGTCTTGCAGTGACACATTGTAACAAAAAAGGCCGATTTTTAGCTAACTAGATGATCAACACTTCGTAAATAATATCTTACCGCGTCTCGAAATTATTGCTCAAATGGTTTGGTTTGGTTTGGTTTAATTTTGTTTAGCGTCCTATTAACAGTCATTTATGGACGTGCCTCCATGTGTGTAGCGTATGCGTGTTTGCGTGTGTGTATGCAGGAGACAGAGTATGTTGGTGTGTAAATGTAAATGAATATATGAGCATCATACAAGCATAGCTTTTATATTATATAAAGCACAAAATAAAAGACAACAAAGACAAAAAAAAAAAAAAAAAAAAAAAAAAAAAAAAAAAAAAAAAAAAAAAAAAAAAAAAAAAAAAAAAAAAAAAAAAAAAAAAAAAAAAAAAAAAAAAAAAAAAAAAAAAAAAAAAAAAAAAAAAAAAAAAAAAAAAAAAAAAAAAAAAAAAAAAAAAAAAAAAAAAAAAAAAAAAAAAAAAAAAAAAAAAAAAAAAAAAAAAAAAAAAAAAAAAAAAAAAAAAAAAAAAAAAAAAAAAAAAAAAAAAAAAAAAAAAAAAAAAAAAAAAAAAAAAAAAAAAAAAAAAAAAAAAAAAAAAAAAAAAAAAGATAGAAAGAACAAAAATAAAGAAAAAATATTGAAAACAGAAGAGTAAGGGATAGACAAATGTGTCATATCTTCGGTCTGGAGTCACTTTCTCGGGACAGCGATACACATATTTCCGAAATCAATTAACCACTTTTCACTTCATTTTCTCAAACCCATATCACGCCAGAACATACGTAACGAACAAAACGTGTTTATACTTTGATATGACACGTTGAACAATGTAAACCTCTCTCATACTGTAATGAGTGTACTCAGCTGGTATTCAATAATATTCTGACATAGAAACGAAGTTAGTTACAGCCAATGCAATTACGAGGTTTTAATCACATGCTGGGGAGGGGAGCTAGTAAGACAATAATGTCAATAACGAGTGTTGAGACTTCCGAACGATTTCAGGTTTCAGGTAGAAAACCAAATGCTTACCTTTCTATTCGGAATTATGCTTCAATCCAGACACCAACTGAAATGGAAAATGTCGAAAATAGTATGAACGAGTAAGAATATATTCATGATTCAATAAAAGTCTTAAAAAAACCTTCTTGTTTATGTCATACAAACTCATCTTTGGTCTCAGATATATCTAAAGCAAATCATTTTAAATATGATTAGATTTTGTGTCCGTGGAATCTTTTCAAGGGAAACAATTCAATAATTCATCTTATAGGTAGCGTGCCTCTAAATGCATGAGCTATTATTTTGACTACATAATATAAATGCCAGTGGGATGCGTCTAGCTCTGCTGATCATGATACGGTACAGCTTTCTGGAAAATCAAATTCCAAAAATTTGTGATTCAAGAAAATTAAATTTAGCAATGAAGGAACGTGCTAGGATTTCCAAAATTGGAATCTATAACGGGGCTGGGATCAATGAAGATGGCGAAGGCGCCTTAGTGAATATTGTAGAGATTCGATAAAGCAGGTCGAACAGCCATGCCGAGTACATTTTGTCAAAAAGATTTCAGTTTACAGCATTCCCTGTAGCGGTTACAGGATAACTTGTAGGATTTCATCCCCTGTAATGGCGACGCGAAAGTTTACCATTCCCTGAATAGATGACATCAGTGCTTACAGCAAGTGTTATTACTGTATCAACATCTTCTTTAGTGGTTACAGCAGTTCCTGTAACGGCTGTATCATCCCAGTAAAGCTCATGGGTACACTTTTAGCAATCACATCTTTAACAGTGGTAAAACCTTCCATAATCATACTTTTTCTAAATTGGTTAAACCTCCCCCGTAGCGGTCATATTTCTCTTTTAGCGGTTTTACTTCCCCTTGAGCGGTACCGGCAGTACCTGTTGTGGTAACACATGTAGCGGCCATATTGTTAATTTAGCTGTAAAACATTCCCTGTAGCGGTCCTACTTTTTATCTAGTGGTCATACCTTCTCTATTGTCGTCATACTTTTCATTTAGCGGTTAACCGTCACTGTAGCGGTCATATTGTTGATTTAACGGTTATTCTTTTCATTTAGCTGTCACATTTTTTCATTAAGCGGTTAAACCTTCTCTGTAGCGGTCATACCTTTTCGTTTAGCGGTTATACATTCCATGTAGCTGTCATGGTTTTCATTTAGCGGTTAAACCTTCTCTGTAGCGGTCATATTTTTCATTTAGAATCATTATCGCTTGAGCATGCGTCAAACCCCATAGCGGTTCCATCATTTCCTTAAGTCGGTATGCTACTGCATACCATGCAGTTATAAAATACAAATCGTCGAATCCTCATGACAAAGAAAACATTTCACACTGTGAAATGCAAAATGCAAGTTACAATACTTCATTCAAACGCAGCGGGGATGTTGAAAATGAGTTGAAGCGAACGCTGCAGTTTTAAAATAACAATGTAATTGCATGGCAGGGGGTCTTACTTTTAACCACTTTAAACATTTTGCCTCGGGAAATGAACTGTTCACTGCCATAAACAATGCATTGTAGATGTTACTGAAATGTTATCGTTTTTTGGAATTCAACCAAATTTAGTTTCATTTTTTTTTCTCTTAAGATTAATTTATTCAAGGATTGTTCTATATGCGTTTGGCCTCATGCCTACACATGGCTTTCCGAAAATCAATGAATAACATTTTTACCGTGGCAGTAACCAGTTTTAGACTGCCATAACTTCGTAAGGTAAATTGTCTCTGAAGCCGTTCGATCTATTCCTACATAGGTTAATTGTACGTGGGGCTACGTCCCCTGAAGGTACAAGCCACCGGGCCGTACATCACTCACTCTGCAGGCCGTTTATGGGGCCACGGTCCCTAAAGTACCTACAAAGGACAACTGCAGGGGCGCCCTCTATATTCGGCAAACCATTTGTACACAAAAAAGAGGTCTATATTTAGAACGTGTTGAATAAGTGCAGTGTTAGCACAAAAGGCTCAAAGGACATGTAGCATTTGTTTAAGCTGAAAAAGGCAAAACAACAACCGAGGAATAAGGTATTCATCATTACACAACACTATGCACCTTCGTGAAAAAGAAAAAAAAGGTACAAAGGGCCTGTAAGAACATCACATAACGGGGGAGGCTCAAACTACATGTAATACCCATCGATAAAAAGAAAAGGTTCAAAGGGCTTGTGACACCCGTTACAGAGAGGATATACCACTAATCAGAGAACTGAAAGATGTAAAGGACCTGTAATGCGAGAAAGACTCAATAAACTTGCAGTACCCGTCATAAAACAGAAAAGGTTCAAAGGGCTTGTGAGGCTTTCAGATAACCCAAAAAGCTCAATAGACCTGTATAAAAGGTATTGTAAGAATGTCAAAAATGTTCTATAGACATAAATTAACAAGCACGAACAGAAAAAGGTTTAAAGGGCTTGTTGGATCGTCATGAGGCGGGAAGGCTCAATAGAGCTTTATAATCCTTCATAGAAATCAATTTTTTTAAATAACCTCTACTCGTTGCAGACACAGAGAGATGTTCAGTAGCCCAGATTGGACAAATCTTCCAGGAAAGAAATGGCCTATTTAAGATTTGAGATCTGATGTAGAGACAACAAAAATAGGATGTGCGTGAATTTCCCGTCACATCTAAGTTGGCCTGTATCATGCGTCGCAGGTTGATATGTAGATATGTAACTGGAAATACTATACCGGTTACCGCACGCAGCACGATATAACACTTTATTTCAATATATTAAATACATTAAATATAGATAAAGTTGTATGTTAGTTGATAGGGCTTTCATTAGTTTAGCTTATTATGTATGTATGCAGTGGTGTTTTATTCCGCCTATAGGAAAAGCTTGAAAACCCGTCCACAATCTTCATTGCTTCAACAGTGGCTGGGGGAGTTTTGCATAGAATACAACCGAACCGAATCTGTCACACAAATACTTCAAAGTCGATTCACCGGATCAACATCGTAACTGTTAACAAAAGTTTTAATCTAAATTAAAAATTCTCTATATATATTGCCTGGTGTCGATCAACTATAACATAAGATTATCGGAACTTTCCTCTCATAGAGGTAGAAATATATTTGACTCAATAAATGATACTTAAATCTGTTCCTGATATTAGGGGGCCAGTATTTTTCTGGTGTGTCAGAAACCAGACACACGACTGCATTGGAACTCTCCAATCAAAGAGGTAGAGAATTGATCTGTTGTTGCAATTGGCGCCAGGAAGATTCATATTTTAGTCGGTGAATCGAAATATGTTCAGCAAGTCTTCCTAAACCTTTCTGATTAAAACGTGTGTTTGTCGCGGAAATAGTGTAACACCCGAGCCTTAGGCGATGTAGATTGGTGTTTGTGTGGATGTTTCCACTTAGAGCGCGTGCCGAGGGTGGTCCCGGAAGGTTGCCCAATGGCTACTAAACATGTAACCTGTTTCTCTGACAAAGAACATACGTGTAGGATGTACTCACTTAATTGGACAGAACTTTAATGATCTTCACATCCGACCATTACCTCAGACACCAGATTTCAAAAACATTTGATACATCCGAACCCTGTACCACCTTCTGACTGTGTAACTGTACTCGTAGACAAAAACACATGTTTATTTATTATTATCGAGACCTCGTGACCAGTAGAACACGAGGAACTTGTGAAAATGTTTAAATTGCGACCCTAAAATTCTCAATAAACATATTATATAGTATTAAACTTCTGGTTTGATCGATGTTTGGTGATGCGGTGTTCCATGGTGACGCTTAGCACATAATAATGTGACGTTAAGCACACAATAGCGTGACGTAAAGCACACAATACTGTGACGTTAAGCACACAATGCTGTGACGTTAAGTACACAATACGGTGACGTTAAACACCCATTACTGTGACGTTAAGCACACAATACTGTGACGTTAAACACACACTACTGCGACGTTAAGCACACAATGCTGTTACGTTAAGCACACAATACTGTGACGTTACGGTAACGTTAAGCACCCACTACTGTGACGTTAAGCACACAATACTGTAACGTTAGGCACCCACTACCGTGAGGTTAAGCACACAATACTGCGACGTTAAGCACACAATTCTGTAACGGAGTGTCTTGTTTCCCATTAGACGGGCAATGTGGTCTGTCCGGAATTACGGCTTGTGTTATTACTGGTATCCGTCGCTCTAGTTCCTATTCTCACATCATAGGTGGCCTAATTTATTTGTTCTTGGTGATGCACTTTTTTTTCTGGGCCAATTTATTCTGCCCCTTTGTATTTTTTTCATCCATATGGTTTTTACTGCTCTACGGTAAATCATAACATATTTCCTCTTGCTTCTTTCCATTAAAATAAAAACGAAATCTCATCAGCAGAAACAGATAATCTAATATATTACGGCAAGTATCACATAAAGCTCGTCGTCTGTAGCGATCGCCACGACACATAGACACTGTCATTTATTTTCTCCACGTAAAAACAGATTTCCATCTTGATAACGTGTTTTCTTCTTTCTCTATTAGATATTTCTACGCAACGTATACATCAATTTTCATAAATGTTAGGTAGGATTATCTGTCTCAAAACTATTTCTCTCCAAAAGGCTTTCGCTCATTTATACATTTCGAAGTGAATCCTGGCGAAGAGTAGAAAACAGACCGTCATACAACCCAGTCTAAGATATTTTATCTGTAGTCATCTTTCTTGTAGATGAATTTGCTAGGTCAATCTACTTTTCCATGTAGGTTTTATTGGTCCGTATATCTCAGACAGACGTTTGACTGGCCACTCTACTTCCCATAGACGTTTGACTGGTCGATATCTTACAAAGACGTTTGAACGATCCGTATATCTCAAACAGACGTTTGACTGGCCAATCTACTTCCCATAGACGTTTGACTGGTCCATATCTTGCAAAGACGTCTGGTTGATCCGTTTCCGAGACAGACGCTTGATTGGACCATCTACGTCCCATAGACGCTTGTCTAATCTGTCTTTTTTTATAAACAGATTTGACCGATTTTCTGTTTAATAAAGACGCTTGACTGGACTGATCC